TGACATTTGCTTTCTTCCGGTCCTCAGAAATCTCTCCTCACTGCCATGACCTTCCAAAGATAATCAAGAGTGGCCTCACAGTGACATCAGCCAGCTCCCTCAGCATTTGTAGGTGCATCCCATCAGGTCCCATGAGCTTATGTCCGTCCTGTTTGTCTGAATGTTCCCTAACCTGATTCTTCTCTACCAAGGGTAAGTCTTCCTTGCTCCAGCCTTCTCGTTGGTCTCAGGGGCCCAAGATTCCTGAATGCAAACCTTACCATTAAATACCGAGGTGAAGAAACCACAGAAGAGTACCTTGGCCTTCTCCATGTTGTCACCAGCTCCCCCGCCCCATTCGTCAGTGGGCCCAGATTATCCCTAGTCTTCGTTTTGCTGCTGATCTATCTGTAGAAACCTTTCCTGTCGCTCTTCACATCCCTTACCAGATCCAATCTGAGACTGGCTTTTACAACCCCATCTCTGCATGCTTGGGCAGTGTCTCTATATTCCTCCTGGGTGATCTGACCCTGCGTCCACCTCTTTTGTGTTTATTTTTCACGTTTGAATTTAATCAGGAGCTCCTTGTTTATCCTTGGACACATCCTGCCACCTTTGCTCGATTTCCTGGTCATTTGGGATGGACCAATCTTGAACTTGGAGAAGGCGATCCTTAAAACTCAACCAGGTGTCCTGGGCCTTTCTGCTCTACAGGACCATATTCCCATGGAAGTCTTTAAGAAATAACTTAATGATATGATTGACATCTGTACAAGATACATTAGCAGATACTATATCAAAGGAATTAACAGACACATAGAGAGAGAGGATTTCTTTGGGAGCCAATATTGCTTTGGTTGGAAGGAGTTGTGCTTCACAATTGCATTGAATTGTATTGGAATTCTTTAGGAGCACCAACAGCGTGCAGATAAGGAGCTGGTTGATATGTTTCCCTTGGGTTTCCAAAGGTATTTGAAAAATCCTTCACTGCAAACTTTGTAAAGGTACTAAGTAGCCATGTTTAAGACAGAAAATCCTGGGCTGGATGAGTCAAAAGATAGAAACAGAGGATAAAAGCAAAGTGTCAGTTCTCTCAACTAGAGAAAGTGCCCAGTGGTGTTTCACAGGGTTCTGTGCTGCTCAGCACATTCATAAACAAAGTGCAAGAGGGTGAGCCATAAGATAAACAAATTTGCTGATTTGAGTTATTTAGGACAGTGAGTGCAAGGGCCAGCTACAACCTGGCAGAAGGAAATTCAAGGTAAATTGATGTAAAGCGAGGCAAACAGGCAAAATAATCCTTATCACATAAAACAATGGATTCTGAGCTATCAGGCCTGAGATGTTTCTTGATTAGTATTAACTCAATGCTCACTAGCAATCAAAAAGAAGCAAATAAAATCCTAGAAGTTACTTAAAAATAGAGAACATCATTGTGACAGCAGACTATGACGTGCCTACATCTTGAGTGCTGTGCAGAGTTCTTACTCCCTCTCAAAAAAGAATCCAGTAAAGCTGACAGAGACATCTGCAGAGCTGATTACGCTTCAAGAGCAGGTCTTGGCCATCCAGTATTCTTCTGTCAAGTATAACAGAGAATTTGAAGGGTGCTTGATTTTTCACAGACTCAAGTAGCACTTATTGATGCTAAAGTATCATTAAGCACAAAATATCAAGTTTCTAGCGGTTTAAGCCACAAGCTACCTAGATTGGCAAAATAAATACAACGCGTAAGCATCTAGGAACTACTAAAAAAACCTTTAACTCCATTTTTTATTATATTCTTTTGAAGACTGGAGAAACATTTTTATGTAAGGCTTGATGTTAAGGTGAGGCATGCCAATGGCTTTATCCGACATTCTATCTTACATGCCCTCAGCTAATAATTTTAAAAGCTAACTGGCTTACTATGATAACTTTTATAAGACATTTCTTGTTTATTAAAATAAGTTATGCAACATGAAAAAACGTAAGTTCTGGTTCTATAGCAGAATTATTTTGACAGAGAAAACACAGGAAATCTGTTCCAGAATTTACCTTAGGTTTTTTGATGCCAGCCGGCATCTTACAGTTCCACTTAAGGGGGACAGAAGAGCAAGAAATAGTTAAGCTTAGATATGCTTTATAAACCGTTAATTTCAATGACCAACCCAAATACCATGAAGACCTACAGAATCATCTCAGATTCACATAGTTGCTCATTTCCAGGATTTCACGGGGCTAAGAACAGATGTATGTCAGTAATCAGGAAACTGGCTCAATTCCTTTGGGAATTTTTTCCAGAATGGAAGCAAGGGGGAGGAAGGGGAAAGAAGAAAAACAATTTGACTGAAACATCACTCTTTCTCCTGTCTTAAAAAGAAGCGGAGTCTTTGAGCAGAATGGCAATATCAGCTACAGCAGTTGGATCTTTGTAGCTCCAGATAAGGGTTGAGATCTCGACAGATCTATAATTATCAGTTCTGATAAATCAGGGATCAGAGCTCTTTGTCTTCGGCATTGCCGACAGCACTTCCTCTCCCAGACACGTTACAACCAGATTAGGAAAGATAGTAGATAAGACATAAGCAGTGCAGAGAATAGTTCAATAGTGTATGCTTTGAGCACTGGAAGAGTATCATTATTACTGCTTTAAGCAATCTTCCTTTTCAGTACTTCCAGTATCTTGTCTAATACTGACCCATGCATTACGAAGGGCAAGTAATCCCCCCCTTACAAAAAAACCCCTCATAAATCAGGGTATCTATACATCTCCCTTCATGTTTTCCCAATTATTTTTTTAAACTCTCCCTGTACCTCCAAAGCCTGGGAACTTTCTATTCCACACAAGATGCTTGTATAATACTTCAGATACTAAAGTTTACAATATACCAACTAGCAAGTTGCAACTAACACACCTGGTAGCACAGAGGTCTTATAAAAGCACAGGTTGTTAACGTATCTTCTTACTCCATAGAGTCTTAGACTGACAAAGAGAGTCCTTATTTCAATGGGGAGGTTGGGTAGTTCACATTTTCCATTTCAGAAACAGCATACTTACTGAAATTAAGTACATCTAAGAACAAGAAAAAAACCCCACTGACACTCCGTATTTATTTTTCTGCATTCATTGATTTGTGATGCATACTCATTCCTTGGTAAATGAAGAGGAAAAGCTCAAACGCACAGACCTAGCTAGTGTAAAGAACTACTCATATCTGACATTTTGGAAATACCAAATGGTATTACGTACAAAGACCCTTCTAAAAGCAGCCCTTTTTTGCACTTCACTTATTTGAAAACAAGTATTTTTTCTGCACATCACATTCCCCAGTTTCTCCCTGAGCAAGGCAGCACACAACAGATCAACCAGAAGAAGTCATATTTGCCAACGTCTTGATCCTTGCCTCTATCCCCTCCCACAGTAAAAACCCCCAGTTTTGTTAAATCTCTTTATTTATAATCTTCTAACAAAGCAGTTTCTTTTTTTTTTTTTTTAGCATAAAAAAACAGCAACAAAGTCTTCAGATCACACAGGGGCTAAACTCATTATGTTCGGAGGAAAGGGCGGAGGGAAAGAAAAGTGGACAATAAAAGAAACATTAAGAGTCCTGAGTTTTCCTAGAGGCTCCCCTTGAGGGCCCTGAGGCTGGGAAGCAACTGGGCTGCGCTCAGGCGCTCCTCCACATTAGCCTTCCAGCAGCAGCTAATAATGCTCTGGAGTCTCTGGCCCACTGGTGACTCGTAGAAAACAGCAGCAGCCAGCGAAGGGCGTAAGTTATAGGCTACCACAGCATAGAGCACATACTGCCGCTCACCCAGGTAGGGCTGCTCTCGCATGACGATTTGCCAGAGGGTGATAGCAAATGAGTAGATGTCTGCTTTGGTAGTGACCCTCTCCCCCTTGAGGAGCTCAGGGGCACGGTGTGTGTACGTGCCCCCTTGCTGGCAAACATGGGGACTCTGGGACAAGCCCTCCTCCAGTTTCTGGGAGCACCCAAAGTCTCCAATCTTGCACACTCCCTGCTCAGTGATGAAGATGTTTGCAGGCTTCAGGTCCAAGTGCACAATGCCCTGTGAGTGAAGAAAGGCTAAGCCAGTCATAATGTCGCAAGAATAGCACACAGTCTCCTCCATGCTCGGGGCCTTCCTTCCACATCCTCCTTCATCATCCTCACCCTGTCTCCACGCATCCCCAGTGCCATAAATTACATGGTGCAGGGTGATGTTGCCCACATACTCCATAATGATGGTGCCCAGGCTGTTCTGGCCGGCTGGGGCACACGTGCTGGCAGCCACCACACGTACCACATTATCGTGCTGTAGCCGGGCTACGTTCAGCTCAGACCAAAAGCTCTGTCGTGATGCCAGCCGGTTTTTGCTGCTCTTCTTCACCTGCTTCACGGCCACAGTTGCACCACGGTAGGTGGCTTTGTAGACAGAACCGAAGCCCCCAGAGCCTAGGGGCTGCAGGAGGCAGAGCTGATCCCAATCAATGGAGCACCAGGCCAGGCGTGGAGGCAAGCGGCGAGTCCTGACTGAAGGAGTTTCCCCCAAGAAGCTTTTGCTGTCTTTGCCAGGGATAACTAAGGGGCTGCTGCAGGGTCGCAAATCCGCAGATGGGGAAAACTCCAAGGGAAGAAAACAGTTAAGAGGAATGGGTGATGGCATAATAAGATGGAGAAAACAACAGGCAGTTACTAAGACAAAAGACTGGAAAGTTTCCCTGACAGAAAGGACTCTCTAGTGACTTCCAAAGCCTTTTATCCTCTCTTCACCATTCTCCCTCCCGCCCCCAAATGAACTGCATCTGTCACAACTCGCTGAACCCAATCAGGCTCACCTGGAAACATTCTTCTCCAACCCTGAAGTAAATCTCTAGAAACTCAAGGCAAATGGATTTAAAGCTAAAAAAATATTAACTCACATGTATTTCACATAATTTCTAATCTCAAGAGAAAAGAAAGATGTTCTGTCCATTGAATGCCTCTAGCAAAATGCCCCAGCAGTAAATAAAGCAGTGATTGGCGAATGCATTTCACCATGGCTCCAGGCAAGAATGATCATCATCAGATGCATTAAACAGCTCAAAGTCATTGTCAGAGGGAGCAGCTGAAATGGTGAGTGCTAGTGTTTAATGAGCTTACGGCAGGCATAACTGAATATAAAAGTGTGTTCGTAGAGACCTACCACTTAAACATGACTGGGACAAGGGGACTGGTTTGGCTGCTCAACTCTGCCTATGCAGGACAGCAAGCTTAATAGTAGCATAAAGACAAATAATTGCTCTGTATCATCCATTGGATATAGTAAATAGAATTATACATAAAGATTTGGTTGTCTTCCCATCACACCCCACGCAGTTACTACAGGTGTGTATTTTATTTCTAGGTCCTCCTTAGTAAAACTATTGCTAAATTTACAGAGCTGTTCTGGCAGAAATCAAATAAATGTAATTTTGCCTTGCTGGTCCCAGTGTTTTTTTCAGAGGGGCTTTGCTCTTTTGACCCTGCTTTCACGTATTCACAATGCTCACGCTAGCTGCCTTAGTGTTTGGTACCTGCCGTACTGCCCTTCCATCAGAGCACCCTTATGGGTGCACCCTTATCCCCACCCTTATGGGACCTATACAGCTAAGTGCTTTTGAATATTCCAGTAAGTATCTTTCTGTACATGTTGACAAATATCTTGGAAAGCTCAGTCCCCATTTCCCACCTCCTCGCCCTTCAGATCCTTCCTCTGGATGTCAGTTTTGCCAATACGGATCCTGCCACGGGACTTCAAAGATTGGCGGTGCCTGTTTCTCCAGAGCTTACTTCTGGGCAGCCCTGGCTCCGCAGGCAGTTCCTGCTGAGTTTTCCTGGTGCTTTCTGTTCCTTTATTTTGCTTCTCTGGATGAGTAAGATGCAGCACAGATGCGCTGAGGGAGGTTTCAGGGGTGCTCAGAACATGTGCAAGCAGAACTGGAGTGTGCTCCACCTTGAGAAGTGTTCGGTTGTTCACCTCAATAGACAAACCTAATGTCCCAAAGACGTCTTCTGACCCTACTTGAACTCTAGATCAGCTCAGCCAGAGGGTTTCAAAGGCATCACTCTAGCGAATCAGCGATGGAGATTTTCCCTGGTACTGAGACTTAGGACTATCAGGAGAAATTTGTCATCGCAATTCACAGGGAAGCAAACCTGGACCAGCGATGAATGAGAATGGGGAATTTGGGTTATCACCTGCCAGTGTGAAACGGATAGGCTGGGGAAGAACTAGGTAAATAGGTGCTAATGTGCATTGTAGGAGTTGTTAACAAGTGAGAGTGCAAAGAGTTAGGGATGCCAGAGGGCCTCTCAATGGCCCTGGGTGGGACAGTCCCTGCAGATGGGACTGCCTGACAACACAAGGCTCCTCTTTCCTTGCCCCTCCCAGAAAGGACTCTAACAGTACAAGAGGCCCCTGAACTCCTCTGGTGCCATCGCACCCTGCGAGCCTTCTGTTGTAAAGCACAAGCCAGCCAGGTAACACCCTGCTGCTGCCCCCTCCGAGGGGCAGCTATCTGGCCTGCGGCACTGCTTCAACATCAGTTACGAAGGGATGCTTTGGGGGTGGGGGGAAGACCAAAGGAGCTTTAGTGTAGTTTTAAATATGCAGTGAAGTAAGCCATGGAGACAATAGGTATTTTACACTCCCTTTCTGAGCAGCGGTGTGATTTTATGCTTCTATAAAAAAGTCTTCACTTCTGATCTTTGCAGAGAATGTTTTCTAGGCAGGCAAGTTGTGATGGAAATGAAAAGCTGCAATAAGCAGATGAAGCTATACTGTAGAGAGAAAGGATTTTTTTTTATGCTTATTTTCTGAGAGCCATTAGGGCTCTAATTCTGGCATGGACCTCTGTGCCATGTAGTATATAAACACAGCTGAGAGATAATCTGCTAAAAATTCTCCAAGAACTTCAGCCTTCTCATGGGAGAAGTGCACTTGTTACAACCTGTTTTCACCAGGTTAAGGTGGCAGAGAAACTTCAAAGGGAAAGTTGGTTGAGGGAAAGGAGTAGGTAGAAGGATGTGCGGATGAAGGGTCCGAGTTAAGCTGACAACTATAGGAGCATATATGGAGATTCTGAATGCTGCAGAACACAGTAGTAAAATCTATGTTCATAAAACAGAGGGTTAGGATTAGGGCTGTTCCCAAATTTCTTTGGTTTAAGTCTCATCTGGAAGGATATAGCAGACCTTCCATACTATTTTTTTCAAAATCCATGCCCCCTCCCCACTCCTTCCAGTTGTCCCTTTTTCAGTAATTTTCCTGTTATCCTTTTCTGCTAGAAACCTTTCTGTTTTGGCCCTGTCATGGCAGGGATGTTGTATTGTTCTTGGGGAATACACTGAATTTTTGAACAGGAAGAGGGGCATATTTTGGGATCTAAACAGATTTAATGTAACTTACTGTCTTGTCTCAAGCTGACTGCTGAGGACCGGAGCAGGGGGATATCCAGTGTCTTTCAATGTGAACGCAATTAAAGCAGATTTAAAAGCAAGCAGGCTTTTATTCTTCATAAACATTATTTTCCTGTAATCCAGTTGATGACACGGCCCAGTGACTTCCCACGAGACACAACCGCTGTAGGACGTCCTTGCCACACTTCACAGCCCCGTTTAGCTCCAGCATTACCGCAGGCCAGAGGAGAGGGCCACAGTGTGGCCTGGGGAGCCATTTTCGGAGGGGAGACAAGCTGCCCCTTCCCTCCCGGCCGCCCTTCCCCAGGAGAACCCACAGCATTGCGCTGGCACCCACGGCAGCCTCCAACCGCACTGTTCCCATTTCACTGTTTCCAGGAGGAAGAAGGAAGCTGTATGAACCAGAAGTCATCGGCAAGGAATGCAACAGGCACTTTTACAAGAGGGGAACACACAGTCTGTCCCCCGAGGGCTGCAATATGTCACAGCTACCATAACCTGCAGCAGCAATGGTTTTGTTCCAGGGTTGTGTGTCGTATTTCTACAAGTAAAACCTGCCTGTGCATCCCATGCTGCAACAGCTGCCCAACCTAATCTGTGCTTCCAGCTGAGAAGGAATACAGAATCAGCCTCGCTCGGTTCACCTGTTTATATTTCACTTGTATATCAAGAATATAGAAACTCTTTGTTTGCTGTTACTGTTAGTTACTACTGCTGTTCGTTGAGTTGCTGGACAGAAGAAGTCAGCCCCAGTACTGAGGGCCTTAAAGGACTGATGTGGATGTAACCGGCCACAACAGAGGACACATACCAAATCCCAGAGTTTGATTCTGATCAAGGTACATCACTGTTGTGGTTCTTAACAGCCAAAGTTTTGACTAAACCAGGAGAAGGATAGAACTGGGGATTGGAACTGATTTCAGGGAGTTTAAGATTGTATAGTTATATTCTTCTCCACAACCGTTACTTTATTTCTTTGTGTATTTGTTTGGTGTACCATGTAACAAACCCTTGAAGGCTTGGCTGTTCAGTGGCTTCTAAGAACTGCTTTACAGTGTGGAGGTAGCATTGTGTTTCTACGAAATTACTTTATAATCTTGCTAAAGGAGTCAAATTTCTCTCTTAAGTACTTAAATTACAGTCCTACTCTCAAAATAACACAGTTCCTTAGCCTGTGCCTTAGTGATTTCTGAGAGGTTTTCTTCCCAGTTTGAAATCAATGTTTTCTTTTTTTCTCCATTCACTGTCAGTCCCTGTGATCTCAGTTTAGGATTTGGTGATGAACCTATATTCTTCCTGACGCATATAGTGTTTCACAGTCCAAATGCTGCTTCCAGCCACACCTCAGAGACCTCAAATGATATTCAGAGTTGCCTGAAAGCAGTTCTGATATGATCAATCACACAGGTGTAAGCGGTATCAGTATTTGAAGCCAGTCCATACACAGGCTTGCCCTGAAGATAGGCCACTGAATAACCATTTTTTACCACAAGCACAAGCCAGAAAAGATTCAGCTCATGTTTTAGAGTTTGGTTGTTTTGGTGAGACAAATGACACTTGGAATAGCAAATACAAGCAAGTTTTCATTAAAGCAGTCAGAGGTAAACCCAAATGCAAAGAACAAATACATCTGCAAGAATTGTGATGCTATTTTACACCGATCTTTGGAACAGAGACATAATAAACATTTAAAAAGGTTAAACCCTGATTTATAAATAATAAGGTAAGTTTCAAACACACATTGCCAAACGGCTGCTTGATGCTCTTTTCCTTTCCAGTGAGGTTACTCTGTGTGTTCAAGAGCACAAAGCAAAGGCTCTCCTTACCTGACCACACTGAGGTTTTAAGTTTTTGAGGTTTTTTAGCCTGGAGAAAAGGAGGCTGAGGGGAGACCTCATCGCTCTCTACAACTACCTGAAAGGAGGTTGTAGCGAGGTGGGTGTTGGTCTCTTCCCCCAAGTAACTAGCGATAGGATGAGAGGAAATGGCCTCAAGTTGTGCCAGGGGAGGTTTAGATTGGA